TATCATGTTTGTAATTGTTCTTTTGAGTTCCATGTCCTGCATTATCTATAGGGGGTTCTTATTGTACTCCTCTAGAGGACTATTCATATTTGGTGGGCATATGTTATTTGGTTTTTCATGTTACTTTTTCTCTGTGATTTTGGCATCTGAATTTCTTTTGTAGTTTCTGATTCTTGTGTGAGACTCAGACCTTCATGTTTAGGTCTACTTCTTTTTGTGAACTTTATGTGTCTTTGTGGTTTACTTTTTGGCAAGAAAAGCTGGTTTGTGTAAGCTTCCGGTTCTCTATCTTGATTTTATATTGGAGTGGCGGATTGATTTTGTCTTCAGGAGTTCCCACAGAGGCCCAATTCAGATGAGGGTCAGATGATTTCAGGCTTTCTTCTAAGGTCTGGATCCCTCCAGGACCGATTTTGGCCTCAGGAATTTGGGGGTTGGACTGGCCTGGGAGCCTGGCCCAGAAAAGATGCTGGTCTAGGGCAGTTGGTGGTCGTGCCACCCAGAGATGCAAAGACAGATGGGTCAGGAAGAGGCCCCAAGGACTCCTGAGGACTGCACTGAGGAGGTGGGTAGGTCTGGATGCAAAGGATCAAGAAGAGGAAAGGTCAGCTCCCAAGTCCAAGAAAGAGGATGGCAGGTGATGGAGGCCCAAGGAAGCAGGGGGAGGTGAGGGCGGGGCTGGGCCCAGAAGCAGTTCTCCTGGGGCCCAGATAAGGCACTAAGTTGGTCTGGATGAAAAGGGCCAGGAAGCAGTATTGGTTCCCCAGGTGTCTGGGGCCCCAAAACAAGGGATGGGCAGGGCCCAAACTCAGAGGAGAGAATGGCGGCGGAGACGGGAGGGTGAATGGTGGTGGGGGATTCAAGGCGTGGAGGGCGGGATGGACTTACCCTGGAGAGAGGCCTGTGGGTGGGAGAGAGGCCTGCTGAGGGTGGTGCACACCCAGAGAAGCAGGGGGAGCCCTTTTTAAATTTTTTATTATTTGAGAATTTCATAGGAGTACTGTACTTGCATCATTTCTACCCCTCCCTCTGCTCCTCCAACTCCTATCATGCCTCCCCCCTCTAAATTTTTTTAATAGAGCTTTTAAAATTTCATACAATATTTCCCACTCACACCCAGACCCCCTCCCCCATCCATGACTCCCTCCCCTCCACCCTCCAAACCTGATGCACTCTGCCATACATGCTGAGTCCTGTTCATTCAGGTGTTTGTACCCAAATGTCCTTCAGTGTAAAATGCATCCACTGGAGTCTAGTCAGCCCATCCAGTGGTCGTATGTAAGTCATACTCTCCCTCACCCAGCAGCAACCAAACTCAAATAGTTCTTGATCTAGTGTTAACCCGCCACCTATTTCTCACCTCCCCTTTGGGCCCTTGTTTAATTGAGCTGACATGGGTCCTACTTTGGATGTTATCACTGCCACAGGCACACATGAGCAAGCCTCCATTGGCCTGGAAGCCTCTACCTCATCCATTCATGAACCAGCCCTGGCTCTTACAATCTTTCCACCCCCTCTTCCACAATGGTCTCTGAGCCGTGGGTGGATAAGGTCCCATATAGGAGTCCTATCCTACACTCTACAGTCTCTTATTCTCCAAAACTTGGCCAGTTGAGGCCTTCTGTGTGTAATGCACTCTGATGTACATGGAAGCCTCACTGGTGAGAGTTGAGAGGTGCATTAGCCTTCTCTCTACCCCTTATTCCACTATGTTCCATGAGCCTGAGCCTTAGTTGTTTTGAAGAGGTAAAAAATTGACCTTAGAATTTTAAAAAAAGAATATAATCACTTTCCTAATAAATTATGTACATGTAATTGCCAGTGATGGTTTTTTAACAGTAGACCCAAAACATTACAAATATTCAACTGATGCATATGGGGAGAAGTGTTATGTTTTTCTCCCACTTAACTCTTCTGTGTGAACTAAATCCAAATGTATCTGAATTTTCATAATTCAAAGAAAATATCTATGCCAACGTTTTGAAAACAAATGGCTGCCAAGCAAAACCTAACAGCATATTCCTTGGTGACACTGAATCAATAAAAGATGTGTGCATGAATGAGCAGCTTTCTTACACTGAGCTAATATGCAAATATGAACCATCCTCAGTTAAAATTGCATTGTATATATTGAAAGTTTCTCTAGAGTCCATGGCATGTTCAGGAAGAACCTAGCTGGATTTGACCTTAAGTACCTTGCCGCATTTTTTTGGTCATTTCCAGCTACCAGTGTCTCCAAAGAAAACAACTTTCTTGTTTCTTTTAGCTTTGTGTGGACCCTGAGCTTTATTCCCAGTTGCTGCTATAAAAAACTGAAATGGTTCCAAACACTACTATTGTTTTTCTTTTCTTTTTTCCTCCCTTGTAACTAATATTTAAACATCAAAGACACTCTGGCACTTTCATGTTGTAGGGTAAGACCATATTTTCTGGTACTTTTATGTTGTAGGTAAGACCATATTTTCCTTAAAGCTATTTGATGTCCTGTACTTTTTATTTTGTTCTTAGCTGTTAGCCTTCTTTTTAGAAGTCCTCTCACTGGTGGCCTTTTGATTTCATAGAATCACTGGCAATTGTGTGGAGGAAGAACTGAAAACAGGCCAGAATAAAAGTGGAAGGATGTTAAAAGATTTTAAAAAATACTTTCAAACAAAGCAAAGTACTACCTAATAATCCATCAAAACTCATCTTGTAATGACCTTTGGAAATGTTAACACTACAGCATGTTGTCAGGACTCCTCCTAAGGCTGAAGTTTAAAAAGTAATCTGTTTTCAGCAATACCTTTCATTATGATGATAATGCCCATGTATATCATTTGGGTATATATGTTCTCATGAAAGATAGTTCGTATAGGATTTCTTCTAAGTTTTACTTGGTCTGTTAATTGGAAGTGTTTCATGAAATTCACTTTTTGGAAAATGGCCTTTTTATTCCCTCTCAAATGTTCAACAGACCGTTTGCCATGTGATAGGACCACTATTTTAAAATGTGATCTGGAAAACTACATTAATTCTGTGTGGCATATTTGCTATTCTTAGCCTGGTGAAATAAGCTGGAAGTGGATGAATAATGCAGGTTAGAAAGAAAACAGATGCTAGATATTACAAATAGAAAGGTTTTCCAGCAATGAGACTTTCATTTTAGGGCTAGATTTTTGTTGGTCCATTTGGCATTATGACAATTATTGTTTTTCTGTCCAGCTGTTACACATCTGTATCGAAGGTTGGGGCAACTGGCGTTGGTCAGAGCCCTTCAGTGTGGATCACACCGGGACATTTATTAGAACGATTCAGTACAAGGGTCGAACTGCTTCACTCATCATCAAGGTTCAGCCACTCAGTGGAGTGCAGAAACAGGTAAGTTTTTTTGTGTTCATGACGAGTGACAACTCCGAAATCCTTGATATAATGGACCTGAATCTTAAATGTAAATAACTAATAAGGAAAACATCACAGTGGTTATGCCTACAACCACTATTCAACATAAGCTCTTAATAAATACCTGATGATCCTGATGGTGATGGTGATGGTGGTGGTGGTGATGGTGGTGGTGGTGGTGGTGGTGGTGGTGGTAGTGGTGGTGGTGGTGGTGGCTTCAAACTCCTTCTCCCACATCTTTTACAAGAGCTGCTAACGAGCAGTAAAATTTACTGATTTTAGTTTGACCTCTTCTCCCTGTCACCACCTACCTTCTGGTGGAGGTGCTAATGAGCTGTGAAATGGCCAAAAGGCCTTTACTGAGAATGCAAAGAAGTAAAGGGTGGTGGGGACCCTGAATAATCCACCAGTGGATGACTAGGAATGGTTCTCATGCACATGCATGTGAGAGTATAATCTGTGTGAAAGTATTAGGATGCTCTCCTGTGACAGAGTGGGTCTGGTTTTCCTGCAAGCTTTTCTTTGCCTAAGAGTTAATATTAACTGCAGTAAAACTTCACTGCAGTCTAACTCTTGGCTTATAAAACCTCAGCTCTCAGCACATATTTTTACGTATTTTATAAAACTTCCGTTTGGCTGTTTTTGAAGTTCTAAGACTGCAAAGGGAAAAAAAAAGTATCTGACACTTTTTTGTGTGTGTTCTTAAGATGTGAAAATGTGGTTTCTAAAAGATGTTTTTCAAACATGGAGCATATGACAAAAGTAGAAAGAAAAAAAGGAAGTATTAAAATCTGAAAACTGGCTTCACTGTACACACAATAACTGGATTTGTCATAAGAGCTTTAGCATATACGTCTGCATCTGGATTGTAACAGGCGAACCAGAGCTTATGTGAACTGAGGACATGATAGAAACAGCACTCGCTCCTGGGAAAGGGAAGCCCCTTTGATGGAATGGCAAGGACTCTTCCATTGCTGCATGCCAAGAAACAGGCAGGAAGCAACTGGCAGCAGGACGCCCCATACCATATACATTTTTGGTCTGCACTTTATCTGAGTACTGGACTTGATGTTCTCATTATTGTGGACAGCAGAATTGAAAAGAGAACCATAGCAGAAGAGGACAGGAAAGTGAGGAAGGATCTTCCTGATTCACTGGTCCTTCCTTAGAGTATTGATTGCCTGTGAAAAACAGGATAAAATGGAAGACACCAAGAATGCGACAATCTTTGCTCTTAAGTCACAAATCCATGTAAAGCCAGCCATGTATACAGCTGAGAGCAAGAGTAAAGGGAATTTAGAGGCTTCAGTGAAAAAAGTTGAGTTATGCTTTGAAAAACATGTTGAATTTGGATTAAGATAGAACATTTCAGATGTTGTTATACAGACAAAGACATGAACATGAAACAAATAAGTGTTATGAAGAATCATGAGAGGATTCACCTATCAGTATGAGTTTGAGCCTAAGAAGCTGACACATCATGGACTCCCATTTGCCCTAAGAGCTCTCTGGCGTGGTTGTACTGCACACTGGTCTTCTGATTCTGTTACTCATGGTCATTCAGAAATATACCATCCACCTTCCCATTTACTAGCATGTCTGAGAAATGGTTATCCCACTTCTGTTGAATCATTGAGACAAGAGGCCTGTTCTTCATATATACTGGCCCTTTTTGTTGTTGCTCTCTGCCAGATATTAAGAGGTTCTTTCTAAAACTAGAAGCAAAATCTTACCCATTCTCCAAAATTGTGTGGCATACACAGCCAGCACATAACTTACTGTGAGGACTCCACAAGTCACCTCTGTATTTCAGCCCTTTAAAAATAATAAGGAGCATGTTTTCCTTTGATTTCCTTCTTTCTAAGCTTGTGGTTCTCAAACACCGGTTCAGAATCCCTAGAGGGCCTGTCAAAACAGACGTTGCTGCATCCCATTCCCAGAGTCTCAGATCCAGTAAGGTCATGCCTGCAGCCTGACAATTTGTATGACTCACAAGTTCCCCTTGTGCTGATGATGCTGGTTCATTTAGAGACCATACTTTGACTGCTATAGCTCTGGTCCAAACTTTCTGTTTGTTCAACTCTTGTATGTCATTGCTAGAACATTTACCAGTGAGTAAAATGGTAGGGTCCTTCCATGCAGAAATGATTTTAATGATGTGTCCTGGTAGTTAAGATCATGGGTAACCTGCCTATATCCCCTTGCTATGTGATTTTTAAGTTACTTATCCTCTTTGTGAATCTGTTTCCTTATCTATAAAGTAAGGGTAATAATAGTGCCTGCCTGAGGAAGGAAGTTAGTATGAGGATTAAGTAAGCTTATGTACACACAGTGCTTACCATGTGCCTGGCCTGCTGCCATAGCCTAATAAACTTCAGTTATAGTTATTATAATGAAAGAGTCTTAGAGATGAGCAACACTAGTTGGACTTTCTTGATAACTACAGTAGTGCCTCATTCTTACATGGATATGTATTTTCTAGGGATGATGTAAAATTTTAGGAAAAAGTAGTATGCATAGTGTTTCTTTATAGATGGTACATGTTACAACAATATGCCAAATGTCAAAAAAAACTTATAATTTGAATAATACATTTTAAAACATCTCATAAAGTTTTACCTCACTCTCTATCCTCCCTAGTCATACACACAAGCAAAATTTTTAACTTTTTTCACTTGAGTTTAATATTTTTTTCAGAAAAATTTTCAAATTATTTAATAACCACATACTTAGAAGAAGCATTTCATTACATCAGCAT